TGCCAGACTACGAGCATATGAGGCCGTGACGCTGCAGAGGCGGGACAGACCCGAAAGGCTCATAAAAGTGACGTACATGGGAGCGACAATCATAGCGTATTGCTCCGAACGCTCCAGCCAATCGACAGATGGAACCTACCAAGACGATACTCTCATCACATCTACTTGTATTCAGCATACTACCATAAGCCCAGCAAATGCAACTCCCATGAAAAGAGCACTGGCGATGGCCAACTGCTCAGAATCATGTAAGAGTCTTTCCGACACCCACAACTGTGCAGGCCGCTGAGGTATGCAGTCGTTGGCAAGCTCCATGACTTGCGTCCAACTCCTACCACGTTATCAACCACAACGACAGTAGTTGATACTACCCTACCCGAAACTAAAGTCATCAAGTCGTGGTCTAACCCTGGTGATCGCCGACTGAGTGGCTAGCAGGAAGGACTGGCGCCTGGGATGGAGATGCTATGATATTTGTGAGATACCGCAGACAGTGCCATGACCTCTCTGAATGGTCAGTCCCTGCACCCGAGCCTCCTTCTTCCACCTGGCCACTATGCAAGCTGATCGCCTCCGGTGCTGCCTCCCCATTCCGTGTTGGTAGGCTAGAGGGCGTGCCCAGACATCTAGGGTGCTCCCGACCTGATCTTGGTGGCGGCCGCATTGCAAATAACTTCACCACTGCGGAGAAGTAGGACAGACACGGGCTCCCCTTTCCACAAAGTCCAACGACTATACCCCGACGGGTACCCAACTCTTTCTTATTATGATAACAAGTGATAGTGAGCGCCTCTCAAGTCGGATCGAACCCCATGGAACATGTGCTGTGATCATCAGTTTTATCCGCGAGACCGTTACCAGACGAAATAGAAAATGACCGCTGCCAGGGATAGTGTAAGGGTTTAGGGCGTGCGCTTTCTCTAGTAGTACGCAGCCACATAGCGGAACTTAGAGCATGATTACTTCGAGGTAGCTATAGTTCGTTTGTCACTAACCGTAGCCATCTTGGCTCAAGTTTCCCTTCTTCTCCTCTGCCTCGCGTTAGCCAATGTCGGCGCCGTCGTCCTCATCGCAACCCCACAATAGATCCGGGGACCTGTGCGAAATCTCGAAATGGCGCGCGCTAAAACAAATGGATAGCTTAGAGACATATAACCACCCGAAGAACTCAATGGATCTTTGCAGTTGAACATAAGCTTTATATCTCAATAAAATGGTTCGTATGGCAGCTGATGTGTCGCAGGACTGGAACCCTGTGGTTCTCAACAAGGGTCGGCCGAAGAACCCAGCGAGCAGGACTGCAGTAAACGACGCCAGGAGGTGATGACCAACTTAGACCCCATGCTGCTCTCTATTTACCCTTGGTCGGTTCAGGACTGGTCAAGACGTTGAAGTGACCGCTAAGTGGCGCGGCGGACAGAACATGAGTACCAAGGAGGGACTTCCCGCCAATGCTGCCAAGCTCGATCAGGACAACGCTGTAGGATAGTGACACGAAGACTGAGGTGTCTCATTGTCTTGTGATTATAGGTGTACAAGCATCCTCATATCAGCACTGAGTTCCGACACGCCCTTCAGCAGGCCAGGTTGGCTAAGAAGATGAGTCAAGCTGATCTAGCTAAGGCAATCAACGAGAAGCCCACCGTCATTAATGAGTACGGGTCCCAACTTGCAACCATTTTCATCTATTATGCTCAGGTATGAGTCTGGCAAGGCAATCCCTAACGGAGCCTAGATGATCCCGCGAACACAATCCTCTGTAGATGGAACAAACCAATGTATGCGGTCGTCGATAGGAGAAAATGAGGGAGACCAGCATAAAAAACGATGCCGTTCTCCTGGTTGTAACAATCACAAGTGAGTTAAGTAAATGAAATATTGTCGAACGATTACATCCACGACCCCTTCTGTGAGATTGTGTCTGTCTGTTATCAACAATGACTGAAAATGTGACAGTCCGCGTGATAGGAACGAGGACGAATAAAATGAGTGGATTCCCTTATATCAAACCATCCCCATCACGGAACCGAATTCGCCGCTAAGACCCTCGTCACGATAACTGCGGAAAAGAGCAAGTCGCTGTTAAGCGCATTACACAGTACCGACCTGTTGAACGTCCTTGCGCCCATATCCGTACTAGCTGAACTGCGGCTCGTTTTGAACCTCCTCTGGGAGCGGGCGAATTCGCGTTCTCGAACCTGATACCATGCATGGGCTTGTTGATAACACTGGCCAAGCAGGTACTACCTCCGCGAGCATCTCCTCCTGATGGGACCTCAACATCCTTGGCCACCAGATCCAAATGTACGCCTGGAAAATTGAGTCATGATCCGAAACATGGACAGATAGGAACCTTTTACCTGGCAAAATAGTACTAACAAAAAAAGCACCAGAGCCACAAGGGCATGCTTCAGACCATATAGAAGGGCCCTGAAAATGTAAAGCGAATACGTTTGAGAAGAGGGCCTGAACAGATACCTACGCGCCACATGCCAGACCGCAAACGAGACTAGTAGCACTGGTGAGGAACCAGAAGGCTGGTTCGCGAAAGAACATCCAATAGCCACCGGACTTGAGCTCGGCCACGAAACGGGGTAGCATAGGGTAAGGTACCTACTCGTAGGTTGAGAGGAAGATGAGGTATGGTAGGTGATGATGGTCACTTATTAAATGCCAGACTACGAGCATATGAGGCCGTGACGCTGCAGAGGGCGGACAGACCCGAAAGGCTCATAAAAGTGACGTATATGGGAGCGACAATCATAGCGTATTGCTCCGAACGCTCCAGCCAATCGACAGATGGAACCTACCGAGACGATACTCTCATCACATCTACTTGTATTCAGCATACTACCATTAGCCCAGCAAATGCAATTCCCATGAAGAGAGCACTGGCGATGGCCAACTGCTCAGAATCATGTAAGAGCCTTTCTGACACCCACAACTGTGCAGGCCGCTGAGGTATGCAGTCGTTGGCAAGCTCCATGACTTGCGTCCAACTCCTACCACGTTATCAACCACAACACCAGTAGTTGATACTACCCTACCCGAAACTAAAGTCATCAAGTCGTGGTCTGACTCTGGTGATCGCCGACTGAGTGGCTAGCAGGAAGGACTGGCGCCTGGAATGGAGATGCTATGACCTTTGTGAGATGACGGAAACAGTGGCATGACCTCTCTGAGCCTCCTTCTTCCACCATGCCACTATGCAAGCTGATCGCCTCCGGTGCTGCCTCCCCATTCCGTGTTGGTAGGCTAGAGGGCGTGCCCAGATATCTAGGGAGCTCCCGACCTGATCTTGGTGGCGGCCGCATTGCTAATAACTTCACCACTGCAGAGAAGTAGGACAGACACGGGTGTCACTCCTAGATCCATAAATAGTATCTTGCTGAGTCATCACGACAATGCTATCAGTTGTATGTCTTTACTTTTCCACCGAACTTGTTATCGGTTACTCCGCGCAATGACATGCGTACTGTCTCCAAGGAGAAGGGCGTCACGCCATTGATCATTGCATCTTTTCCCCTTATGTCTCCACTACTCTGCCTGTTGATTATGGCATCTATTAGCGGTAATGACTTGAGTATTGAGGAAGTGGGGAGTGATGTATCACGTATCTCTAGCGGAACAAAAGGTTCCGGAGTTACAATCGGCACCCACCGTGGGGCAGGGAACGTTGCCTTCGAGGATGTGCAACCACCCTGCCCCGTTCCCGACACCATGGTATCGGCTATCATTACTAGGACGGGTCATGGGCAAGACATCGCTGATGACTATGAGGAAGAGGAGAGCCACGACAACGGCACCGAGTCTGATGATGGCCCTGACGAAGATGACAAAGCCTCGGAGAGGGATGATCATGAGAGATATGGGAGCCGTCAGTCTACTCCCCTGTCATCGGATATCTTGCTACCACCGCTAGGTGTGGCGAATCACACTAAGCGCAACTTGGCGGCCATTGATGCGTTGATGGCCGAGGCCGACCCTCGTGCTGGGGATGCGAACTTGTCCTTACCTCGCCTAGAGGGTGCTCTAATGATGAGTACGTACGAGCTCCTAGTCACTATCTTGGGGGTAGGCAAAAACCCTTGGATTTCATCGACGACCTCTCTTATCGGTCGAGATGGCCAAGCTCTTGGCACCAATATCAACAAGTTCAGTGAGAACTGGGATATCGGTTATCTACCTAACTCTCCGTGCTCTAGAAGTGCCAAGCACAGCAAGAAAACCCCACGTCAAGTCGATGCTACCAGCCGATCGAAAAAGTTTGGTGATTTCTGCGACAAACTCGACAGATCTCTCTCAGCTTCTAGGGCTAGCCCGACTGTCGAACTACTCACCTTGGTCTACCTTTTCCCGCTATCTGTTACCTCTGCTCTACGACGTTGCTTGGTTTCGGTGTGCTCGCAGTCGAACTACCTTGCGGCAGCGGGATGGCACAAATGGCATGGCTGTGACCTGACGAAGGCATCCGAACACCAAGTTGGTGTCACCAACGTTCTCAGTTCAAGAGTGACTACGTGGAGTATACCACCGTGATCCGCGAATGGATCGAGTTGGTTCGGAAGGCCATCAATGATGAACGGCCGAAGATCTCTAATAGAGATTCTCTATCGCCAAAGTCATGGCGGGTTGGTCATCTATCGTAGCTGTCGAGAATGACACCCTATGTTCTCTCCTCGGGAAAGAGGAAGAGCTATGGACGCTACTTGTGACCAATGGTGGTATCACGTGGCCTCAACGTCGAGACAGACTGCTGAGCGCTATGCTGTCTAACGCATCATGGCGACGTCTCATGACCTTGTGGTGGAGTAAGCTGTCGGTGGCAGGCGACTACGACGCGTTCTACGAAACTGTCATGTGTATGAGAGAGTCAGGACTGGCTCTCCGTGTGCTGCCGAAGGCTGAGTTGTCCGCACTGAAATCGGAAGCGCTTGAGCAGCGAGGAGTGGGACCTGAATTATACTACAGTCCAAGCGGCGACCCTAATGTAGATCCCCATGCTCCTCAAGGCCTAGCCAAGTCGGGTGACACCGACCAGAAGCAACCTGACGGGTCACGAAAGGCCCGTAATAAGAAGAAGCACAAGGTCGCTGATGGCAAATTCTCTCAGGGTAGCGCCAAACCTACCAAGGTTGACGTCAAGAACAACAAGCGTGATCCTAAGAAGGACCTAGCGTTCAAGGAGGGCCGCTGTTTTGACTGCAACGAGAAAGGTCATCGAGCTTCGGAATGTCCGAAGAGAGTGGTGAAGAGCAGTGTCGCTATTGAGAAAGATGGGAGCCCACAGCAAGACCAGTGTGGTGATCCGCAGTGTACATCCCACTTCGTATCTACGGCGGTCACGGTTTCATATGCCGTGCCGGCGAGTTCAGGGGACGGACATAACAGCATCGCCGGGGAGGTGAGTGGTCAACTACGAGAACATGATCTATTACTTGTGAACCTCTACGATGGTCGAGCAAAATCCAAACCCTTCAGAGCACTACTGGATTCCGGTAGCCAAGTCACTTTGGTAGGGTCGAATCGCTCTTCTACTCCCTGCTCTCATGTTGATCCTTCACGGCCAGATATCACAATCACTGGTGTTGGTGGAACTTGCACAGCGAAACCGGTCTCGCTTCTTATCAAGACGGATCCTTCTGCTGCCACCTTGGAGATCAAGGCCTATCTGGTGAAGAATTTACCACTGGATGTTGATGTCATCGCCGGGATAGACTGCCTCCGCCTTTTGAAAGCAAAACTTGACTTTGCGAAGACAGATATTGTCTTCTCACCATGCCCGAAGCTGAATAGGTCACATATCCCCCAGGTGGCCTCTTTGGGACTAATCAGTGTTAAGCAAAATGGAGGCGATCAGCTACCGCCTCTACCTGTCGCCAACATTGAGTGCAAGAAACGGCTTCCCACTACGTCACCGAGGGTATCCACTAGCTCCAGAAAAGCGTAGGATCGCGGAGGAGACTCTCCGTGACTATGAGAAGAAGGGCTACATCGAGTTCATCGACAAAGACGGTCCACCTGATCAGTGGATCTCCCCATGCTTTCTGAAGCGCAAGAGAAGCGGCGCGTGGAGGTTGTTGACGGATCTAAGATCTGTCAACAAACGTCTACCGGTTTATTGCTTCCCCGATGAGGCCCATACTGAGCACTTACTAGCTCAGATTCCTCGTTGGGCTACCTCCTTTGCTTCGTTGGATGTGAAGGATGCCTTCTACACGGTACGAGTGTCTCCGCAGTCTTCTGAGCTTCTAGGCGCTACCTTGGGATACCATACCTTCCGGTGGAAGGTTCTTACGCAAGGCCTGTGCACGGCTCCATATTGGTGGAGTCGTCAAATACACTGGATCCTATCTGGTATATCTGAGCTCGATAAGTTCAAGGGACGAGTTGTCGTTCTGACCTTTGTCGACGATATATTGATATGCGGTGATTCTGTAGAAACTACGAGAGCTGTTCTCGAGATTATCTGTAAGCGTCTGGCGGACTACCATATTCCCATCAGCCCTGAGAAAACTCAACCTCCTACCGACATCATCGGCTTTCTCGGAATGAGACTGTCATCCAATGGGTGGCAACCGGAGCCAGCGGCTGTGGCGGCTCTGGAGTCACTCCCTAGACCTCTCAATAGGCAGCAGCTACAGTCAGTGTTGGGGACTATCAACTACCTAAGAGCGGCTTATGGTCAAGGTGAGTTACAAGTGAATCTTGCTCCCTTACAAGATCTTCTCGGGAAGAATAAGCCCTACAAATGGACCGACCTGCATGATGCTGCCTTTGATTGGCTGAGATCGGCCTTGCGGCAGCATGTCTTCGCTTTTCAACCGATCGACTCTGAGCTCGAGGAGGGCGAAGGATTTGTGTTGCAGACAGATGCCAGCGACTGTGGAATATCCTATGTATTGTGGAGAGTACGTTTCGGTGAGTGCCCAGGCGCACTCTCGGATATGGGTGATCTAAACTCTGAGTACTCTGGCCCGACGCCGGACATTTTGGCTGAACATGGTGCTGTGCAGCACAGCACAGCCTGTGCTTATGGTCGGCAGCCGTCGTCTCCGTGGGCATGAAAAACGTTATGCAACCTTTGACTGTGAAGGTCTCGCCCTGGTAGAGGGTCTCCGCAGAGCGAGGGTGCTGCTGCTAATCCCTACCAAAAGCGGGAGACGAGCGCCTGTCGTTGTTCAATCCGACAGTGCAGTTGCCATTCACAAAGTTCAGGCTGTCCCTGACTACTCCGAGTTCACCCGTAATCAAGTCCGGTATAAACGCTGGTGTCGATGGGTCGAGAGCGTTGTTGATGTGCTCCCATTCGTCAGAATATTTCACTGTCGTGGCTCTGAGAACTGCCTATCGGATATGTTTTCGAGAGTTCTCGCCGAGGCTGATACTGACACTATGGGGGTGTACAGTACAATAGCTGTATTGGTGTCTGATAACTTCGACAATAGCTCACTGTGCTCTGAGGAAGACGACGAGGCTCTCATGAACGACAGCCTTCCAACTGACGATGGCGTGGCCGTGCTCCCTGTTGCGGGTCAAAGACTTGAGGAAGATGTACCTCCTGAGCTTATCGGTCTCGTTAATTCTAATCGAGTACGGAGAGTTGATCCGGACTGGGTCTACCAAGACTCCAAGGGCCGGATCCGAACTTATGTCCCAGAAGGAGATCGCTCGCAAGCCTTGGGAGCAGCGCATGGTGATGGCCATGCTTCCCCTGAAAGGATGCTCCGCGCCATGATGAGCACAGTCTGGTGGCCCAAGATGAGCCCTGACATCGACGCCTACTGCAGCGTGGGGTGCGCCAGACACGCTGCGCGTGCCGCTGCTGCCAGCCCGCGGTATGACCTTTTCCCGGTTGAGGCCAGAAGGTTCTCCTCGGTCGCTATGGATCACTTGGGACCCTTCAATGGTCTCTATGTCTTGGTTGTCGTTGATAAGGTGACAGGCTGGCTTGAAGCGTGCGTGGTCGATGACAAGTCTGCTCAGTCGACTGCCTTGGCCCTTTACGATGTTTGGGTAAGCCGATGGGGGTGGTTTGATTCGATCACCCATGACAATGATGCAGGCTTCTGCTCGGCGACTGTGAAATCTCTCTTTGAACGTCATCAAGTGACGAGGACATTATCACCTCCGTATTGGCCGAGAGGGAACGGTATCGCTGAGGCTGCGGTAAAGGAGATTAAGTATGTCATTCGTCGTTCCGGCGAGGTCATTACCGGTGCGGTCCAGCTGAAGGCTCTCGTCGCAGCTGCCCGACTGCTCCATAATTCTTCTGCTGCAGATGGATGTGGCTATTGTCCTTATGAGATTGTTACAGGAAAGAAGCTTAAAACCTTACTTGAAGTTGTCTACGGTGATAATGATCCGGGTCCGGCGGATCCGGAGAAGATCGAGAACATGCTGAACATCATCGTTGAGCAGAAACGAAGATCTAGAGATCGCAGCCGAGCTGCTGCTATCTCGCGCGCCGAGAAGTGGCGCTCTGGCTCTTACGGCAACGACCTGCACGAGGGCGATTTGGTTTTTGTTGTCCAGCTACGTGGTTATGGTGGCCGGGTGGCCCTAGGCCCCTTCCGTATTGGAAACGTCGATGGCTCCCTCGTCTACCTGCGTGGTGAGGAAGATCCTGTCAGCCGTGGAGAGTGCGTCCCCTATTGCCCTGATCCCCGCTATTCTGACGTCGCGGGAGAAGACCACCAGGCCATGAAGGTCGAGTTTAACTCTCTCACTCCAGACATGATGATTATGTTCGAAGTCGAGGAACTTGACGGCCAGGTAAAGTCTCTTGATGTTGGTAGAGTCGTGTCTGAGCCTCTGCGTGACAAGGTCAAGGTTGAACCGTATGCGTCCCCTACTCATCTGTTCTGGTTCCGTAGACAGCCGCGTGAAAGAAGGCTGGTTACGGTTTCTAAGTCCGAAGTGAAGTTCTCAACTTCTGGTACTTTCCTCGAACCGGATGGCAAGCTCAGCTCCGAATCGATAGAGCTGCTCAGCCAGAGAGGATATATACAGTGATAGACATTGTCGTGATGACTCAGCAAGATACTATTTATGGATCTAGGAGTGACAACTACCCCCCGACAGTATGTCGGGTTAGCTGGCAACATTCCTCTACTAGGAAGTTGTTGAGAAGCTCGTTGTGGACCCAGGACATCCTGAGGATACCACCCATATCCCAACACACTAACAGAGCTCTCACCCTCAGCTGGAGGCCGATCTCTTTCCTTAGCAGGCTGGAAGGGAAAACCTCGTCGATCACACGCAGAAGTGAAAGCCGTATGAGCTACATCAAGTAGTGAACGTGAAGTAGCACCAAGAACAACATCATCCATATACGGTTTCCAACAGATACATTTTCGACCAAACTTCTCCGACTCGAGCTTCTTAGAAATGGGAATAGGCAATTTAGCAACCGAAAGTTTGCCTAGACGACACACCGCATCTTGCAAACAAGATGGTGCATGAGGGGCCCCCATACCGGGACCTCTCAGACGAAACACACGAGAGTTCCAAACAATGCAAAAAACATACTTAGCAGCTGGAGCATTAGCGAGCTGATAAAAGGCCATCTTCAAATCACTCAAATACACGTGCTCATAACAACGGAACACGGTGAGAGAGGGTATAGTACTACGGAGAGTATTAGCCTTCGGATCTTCATCTCCTCGACCATTGCCGATGATACCCCTATAATAAATACCATTGATGACGGGACGAACCTTCGTAGACACCGCACTCGGAGCATAAACCGGAAAATGTGGTATAACAGCATCAATCTGAGCAAAATCATCAGATTTGATAGGAATCTCCACCATAGCTCCTTGGTCTTCATATTTACGGAAGACATTATCATAAGCATCAAAATGTCCTTCCTTCTTGAGCTTCTGTACCAACATAGCATCCTTCTTGAAAAGACGAGCCCAGTCTTCTTTCAAGGGACGTGGCAATCTCTTATTAGATAACCATGGAATATCATAAGTATAACGCAGTGCCATTCTAGTACTGCCATCAGAGCAAACATGACGATCTGGTGTAAGACCAACAAATACAGTAGATTGCCCATAACCAACATCACCGAATACCGGAGGCAGAGTGCAAGGAGACTGGTCATCTGAAGGCGAAGGAGAAGAGGTAGCAAGATTGCACTCAGGTGACTGCTCAAGATCATCTTGTGTATTCTTGCTCCCCCAATTCAACATCGTCGCAGATACAAACTTATTAAACCCCTCTACATCATCATGCCCATCAACTATACGGCACAACTGTGTGTCATAAAGCAACTCGGGCATTCCGCAGTCGTCCGGCGACGTAAAATCACAACACGAAGGTGAGGAGTCGTCAGGCAATGGACTCGCACAACCAGAAGATGACGAGTCAACAGGCTGCTCTTCAACTGGAGGATTATCCTGACAAGTCATTATACGAGTAGCACTGTCTGAAATAGCACGGCGGACATCAACTTCAGTCAGAGAGGCTCTCAGTAGTGTTGCATCGCTGCTCACGAATACCAGAAGCGACAAACTTCGCAAAGCATTCATGCCCAAAATCATATTGCAGCTGAGCACAGGAGATACCAAAAGCCAAACACCAGCTTCAGCCCCAGATGGCTGTGGAGTCACAATTGTCACACGAATAGCCTCAGTGAACCGCATGACAGTTGAATCAGCCAAAGTAGCTGATGCAGATATAGCACGAGTCCTCACGGATATAAACAGAATTCAGTGAATCACGAACAGACTTGTGGATAAACGATCTACCAGCTCCAGTATCGAGCATAACTGACACTTCTAAATCACCCACATTAACATCATATGACCGCAGTGAGACGTTAGCTTTCACGGATCATGAGGACCGTCATCCA